TGTAGGGAGTGATACATATGAAAAGTCATACCTATGTACGTACATATGTATGCATGTGTGTACTATATAAGCCTGAGCTTTACTTATACCCCTGTGTGCGTGTTTTGATATATGTTGTCATATTTATTATCTGGACATGGGAATTGTTATTCTCAAGAGTTCATAAACAGCTGTGGAAAGTCAATTTTTTTGCCTCTATATTTCCAATAATCAAATGTCACATTATTTATGTTAAACAATAGACCAATTTTTTTTTTCTCACACTCAGTTATTTTTAAACATTGTGCTGAATCAGGGACGTACGCAGAGGGGCGGCCATGGGGGACCCCCCCCCCCCCCCCCCAAATTAATTTTTTTCACAGTAAATGTATGTTTGCAACAGTGAATTTTTTCATTTTGTTCTAACAATTTTGCAATTTTGCTCATGTATATAGACTCCCTTCAGTTCGTTTATAAAGAATCCATTTAGTTCGTCTATAAATATTCCCTTCAGCACCTCCGTAAAGACTCCTTGTCCATCAGCTCGTCTATAAAGACTACCTGCCATTCAGCTCGTCGATAAAGACTCCCTGCCCTTCAGCTCGTCTTTATAGTTCGTCTATATAAACTCTCGGCCTTTTATATCATCCGTATAGAATCCATGCCCTTCAGTTCGTCTATCAGGACTTCCTGTCCGTCAGCTACTCCATAAAGACTCCCTGCCCTTCACCTCATCTATAAAGACACCCTGCCCTTCTCTAGTCTATAAAGACTCTCTGCCCTTCTGTTCGTCTATATAGACTTCCTGCCCTTCAGCTAGTCTATATAACCCATGCCCTTCAAATCGTTATTATAGACTCCCAGCCCTTCATCCCATCTTTATAGCCTCCCTGCCCTTTACTTCTAAATAGACAGCCTGCACTTCATCTCGTGTAAAAAGACTCCCAGCCCTTCAACTCGTCTATATAGACCCCATGTACTTCAGCTCGTTTGTAAAGACCCCCCGCCCTTCAGTTCGTCTATATAGACTCCCTGATCTTCAGCTCGTGTAAAGGGATTCCCCGCCCTTCTGCTCGTCCATATAGATTCCCTGCCCTTCAGCTCGTCCATATAGACTCCTCGACCTTCTGCTCGTTTATATAGATTCCTCGACCTTCAGATTATATATCTTTATAGAACCCCTGGCCTCAGCTCATGTCATCCAATATTTAAAAATAAAAAATGCATACTTTTAATGAAACTGTACATGATTGGTGTATATAAATATATACACCTGTGGAAATATATCCTTTATTTATAAATGTAAAAAACAATATATACAAGTTAACGAGATATGTAGAGTGTCTACAAAATATTTACAGGCTATTAGCTAGGTTCATTGCTTTATTTTATGCCGGATTTCGAAGCGGAAAATTTTCATTATGTTAACTCCAGATTTGTTTTAATTTTCTGTACAATATCAAGCGATATGAATGTATCGGCACGGTTTTGCGTTGCGTTTTTTTAGAATTGATCTTCCACCAGTACTGCATTGTATCATTTTCGTAACAAAAACCACATCTTATAAAGTCCAAACGTAAGCTGCGAAAATCAGTAAATCTACCTTTTAGTAACCATATATTATAACGTGGTGTCTCTATAATTACCTAAATTAATTTTCTTTAGCTATGCCGCAAGCAATTCAAATTCTTCTCCATTTGTGTTGAATTTTCAACATTGTGTTTTCCAAATTGAATGGATTTTTCTGACATTTCCGTAGTTTTGTGTCCAATTTTCCATTATTAATTAAAAATGTGGCGGCAAAAATGTAACTCTGTGCAGAAAATAAATCGTGCCATCGCAATTTGCTGCTCCTTCATGCTGATGTCTCATCATTGGCTTATCCGTCAATGCTACATATAGGGTCCACCTCAAGTTATCTGGAAAAATATCACATATTTCTTTTATATTTAATATTGCATAGGTAATAACGAGATGTCACATTTTACGAAGTAACTGGAAAAAAAATACCACTCGATTTAAAAAAATAAAAGGATTTCAAAGTCATTTGGATTTTTATCTCATCCAGTATATTTCGTTCTTTGAAAACATTTAACTACCATAAAGCATAATGAAAATTCCATTAAGATCGAATGCAATCTTAATCAGATTATATATCAGCATAATTCAGGAAGATGGGACCCATTTGTTCAATCCTTCTGGTACCTCGCTCACAGAGGGTCTCAATTTTCAATATTTATAAATCCAATATCAGCCTAATGGAATGTGTGATTTGAACCAAACTTTGCACAACCTATAACCTTTACCAAGCCTATAGTTATAAATCCAATATTAGGCGAATGCCCGATTTGAACCAAATTTGCAAAACCTATTGTATTTACCAAGCCTAGATCAAGTCCGAAGGTGGGACCAGTCTGCCCTCTCCTCTGGTACCTCGTACAAAATGGGTCAATATTATATATATGATCAACATAAAATTAGAAACATCTTTCATTAAACATATAGCTTATATAAAACGAATAATAAAACCTGTGTATAACTCCGAATACCTCCTCCGCATGCCATAGGGTGAGGGTATATATATGTCGGCACACCGACTGACACTTTTTACTTGTTCCAATAATATTTTATCAAGAATTTTCACGGCCCTAAACTTGGATTTTTTATGAATATCCGTCCAAAAAATTTTCAAATTATTAATTTTTACAAACCGGGAATACCAAAGTCATAAGCGTTGATTTTTATGAATATTTTTAAAGACTATTAAAGCTTTGAACTTTGATTTAAAAAAAAAATCAAACAATTTTAAAGAATATTTCTTCAAGGTCTATCACGACTATAAATTTAATTTTTTACAAATATTTTAAAAACTATGTTTCACTTTTCATTTTCAAATACACATTCACTCTCAATCTATACAAAAATATATCTCAAAAAATAAATCCCCTCCCCCATTTTAAAGATTTCTTTGATCACTCACTCACTTGGAAGGCATTCCATTGAATGAACAACTATCATCATCACTGATTGATTCTTGTCAATCAGCATACCAATTACCAAACTGATGAACCGGATGATTGGCACTCTTGTGTTTCCGTCATAAAAATCAGATTTCAGGCCGAACAACCCTTGTCACGTGGATATGTGGGTGTCTTCAATTAGGAATTTGCCAAAAATTTGTCTCCCACTTTTTTTTGGGTAGGCACAGCAGTTCGTCCCCCTCCTTTATTTGATATTTCAATACATATTTCAGAAAGGAGAAACACAAACACACAAACAAGTAAAGGAACAATTGTTAAAATTGTCTATGGTCGGTATGGTGAATAATGTCAAATATGCCCAGCCACTTCGTTCGTTCTCTTGTATTGATTTGCAACATTTGTCAATGACATATCGTATTTTCTGGTTTTACATTGCATTGCATTCCATTCTTTGTTGCTTAGCTACGGAGAGACGTAACAGTATTTCAGTTGGATGTTGACAAAATACATATCACAATAATTTACGACTTTAAATGAAGAACTTTAACAAATGTTGTGTTATTTTCTTTGTGAATATGAGGCATTTCACGAAAAATAAGGCCATATTAAACACAATATTTCGAGGAAGAATATATTCAAAGTCGGAGCATTCAGGATGCATTTTTCTGAAAATATTTTTTGTAGGGATTAAAAGCTTGTATTTGTTAAGGACTAATTTTTCAATTTCGATGGAATTCTCGGCGAGAATTTTCCAGGACTATTATACCTTTAAGGATGGATTTTTTAAAGAATATTTTGTCAAGGGCTAACTCTAAGCATGGATTTTTAAGCACTATTGCAACTCATGCTGGTTTTGTAACGAATATTTTTTTAAGGACCTCAAAGCGTGGATTTTTTAAAGAATATTTTTTTCCAATGGCCTCTTAGTGTGGATTTTTTATATAAAATTTTTTTCAAGGACCTCTAAATGTGAATTTTTTTAAAGAATATTGTTTTCAAGGACTTCTAAGCGTAGATTTTTTTTAAAGAATATTTTTTTCAAGGACCTCTAAGCGTCGAGTTTCTAAAGAATATTATCTTCAAGGACCTCTAAGCGTGGAGTTTTTAAAGAATTTTTTTTTCAAGGACCTCTAAGCGTGGATTTTTTTAAGAATATTGTTTCAAGGACCTCAAAGCGTGGATTTTTGAAAGAATATTTTTTCAAGGACCTCAAAGCGTGGATTTTTTAAAGAATATTATTTCCAATGGCCTCTAAGTGTGGATTTTTTTTTATTTTGGGGACCTTTAAGTGTGGATTTTTTTACAGAATATTGTTTTCAAGGACTTCTAAGCGTGGATTTTTTTAAAGAATATTATTTTCAAGGACCGCTAAGCGTGGAGTTTTTAAAGAATATTATTTTCAAGGACCGCTAAGCGTGGAGTTTTAAAAGAATTTTTTTTCAAGGACCTCTATGTGTGGAGTTTTTAAAGAATATTTTTTTCAAGGACCTCTAAGCGTGAAGTTGTTAAAGAATATTTTTTCAAGGACATCTAAGCGTGGAGTTTTTAAAAAATATTTTTTTAAATTAAATTTAGTTGTGTAACCTATGAAATCGCCCATATAATAAAATGTATGTTTGAATACTCCCATTCATCCTTTGCTACGTGTGTGTTTGTATGCCGAATATTTGAAAAGTCCATTTGTTACTTTATAGACGTCTGTGTAAAGCATAGCTAGGTAATAAAAGCCAATCTTCTCTTATGTCCTTGCTGTTGTTGCTTTGGAACTTTTATTTGTCCCGAGAAATACTCCTTTGAGTATGCATATATATGTGTGTGTGTGCTATAGAAACTTTTCGTAATATATATCCCAATAGTAAAACTTCCAAACAGGCCCATGAAATGATTGAATGAAGTCAACATCAGTTTATGATGACTTTTTTGGTTAGAAGCTATAAATCAATGTTCCATAATAACAGCAACAATAAATCTTATAGCTACATTCACATATACATATCTATTTTAATATAGTAATAAAGTGTTCTCAATACTCACAGTATATCTCCAATGAAAGCTATGTACTCGGTGAATCTCCATCTCCAATTGGTGAGGCTATATTGCTATCCGATGTCGATAATGGCCGGCATATACCCAATTTTGTAAGGCCAATTGGCATACCCTTCAGGATGGCTACCGCTTCGTCCAAGTCCAAACCCTGCAGACTGTGTTCGCCCACACTGACCAAACGATCACCGGGAAATATATCGTTAGTGGCCTCGGCGGAGCCACCTCTGATAAGACCTCGTATGACTATAACACTGCCATCTGGATCTAAGGGATCTTGATAGTCCAATATGGAGAAGCCGAAACCCTGTTCGGTTTTCTCAATTTCAACTATGGTCACATCTGAGCTCCATAGCGCTAGGCCCGATACATTTTCTAATGATTTTGAACGTTGCTGATCCGTTAGTGTGGCAGTGCTAGAGGTATACAAAGAACTCTCCGACTGAGCTTTGCTCATGAGATTCTGCAGGCTCTGATGGCCACCGGGTAGAAGGCTGCGCGTTTCAAAGGCTTCCGGATTCTGTGATGTATTAATGATAGATGGTGCGGTTGGACCGCGGGCACACACCAATTTGACATGTGAAGGCAGTTCTTTGAGTATTTTTACCACTTCGGTATGTTTGAGACCCTGCAATCGGTATTCGTTCACCTGCAACAGTTCATCGCCCGGCTTTAGGATACCCTGACGGCCGACCGGACCATCTTCCAGTATCGAGCGTATATAGTGATGGGGACGTTTCTCGATGCCGCACTCTACATCGACAGTGCCCTCAAGGCTAATTCCTAGACCTGAAAGTTTATTTATTTCGGCAACTATAATTTCACAGTCGGGAAACTCACTTTTCCATGAAACTTTCAGCGAATCCGCACTGGGACTGGAATGTTCTAAGGGTACAGGGGACTGGGACGGGGGTTGGTGTGACACGGCTAAGGGCGATGATAGTTTACGTATGGCCAGATCACTAGGTGGTGTTTGTTTTGTCTTTTTGTTATCTTTGCTGTTCGGGGTGGGAGTAGGGGTTGTGGTCGTGGTTGTGGTAGCAACGATTTCAGCAACATTTTCTATTGTCGGTGTTCGGGAACCCAGAGAACCGTTCAGTTGTTTGTTCGACGTTTTCTGGTGATCGGGTGAGGTTATGACACATGCCTTGCCATTGGCCAGAGGTGGTTTGTTGTTGTCTGGCGTTGTGGGTGTCTTCGAAGAACGACTCAAGTGGTCGTCAGCTGCCATGGTGCCGGTTGGACTCTGTTCACTTTTGTCAAGCATGTGGGACATTTGCGAGTCCACAGTTTCTCTGGAAGGTAGTTCGGCGAAATCCAATGCATTGGTGCCTCCAGTAATCCCACCCTCTGTGGCAATGGAGTCCACATCGGATTTAGGTGGCAACCATGACAGTGTAGCTATTGAGGGTGAGGGCGGCAGTGAATATTGCGATTGTGTATCCATTGAGGCTTTCAGTTCTGTCAATGCCACCTGCAAATGTTCATATTTACGCCCTCTCAGGAATCGCTCCAACGTGAGGTGGACTTCAATGTCTGTGTTGCGCAGCATCTCCACGGCCTGATGATTTGTACAACCCGCCAGGGTTTTGCCATCGACCGCCACTATGCGATCATTTATTTGTATTTGTCCGCTCATTTCCGCCGCACTTCCCTCAATTATGCTCTTAACAAAAATTCCGGATAAATCCTCTTCTTCGCACACGTAGCCGGCCACCGTAATGCCAAGGCCATAGACATTTTTACAGAGTTTTACATGATAGGTTTCGGTTTCCGGTGAATCCATGTAGTTTGAGGACGTTATCGAACAACATTCATCGGGATCGTTAGATGAGGTGCCAGTTGTAGTTATACCAGCTATCACAGTCTCTATGTGGTCCATATGTAGTGGTGGTGGTGTTGATTTTGTTTTCAGTGAACTCTGAGAATGAAATGTCGCCGAGGGAGGAGGAGGTATGGGTCCGACATCCGGTGGCGAAAGGGAGGTTAACGATTTGCCCGCCCCTCCCGATATGGGCGGTGGCGAAACAATGGAAAATGGTATAATGTCTAAATCTTTGGGACACATGCGGGCCGCTGAGCTATTGGTCAGCTCTTTGGGTATTGGTGGCAAGGGCAAATCCGCCAATTCTGTGTCCGGTGTGGCAGGATAATAGGCACTTGCCCCCAGCGATTCGGTGGCGGTGACACCCTCCAACATCATGGTGGAACAGCTAACTCCCACCGACGACGACGCCGCCGCCGCCGCTCCACCAACTGCACCACCACCCGCCACCAATGAGGCAGCTGCCAGGGCCGCTTCCGAACTTGTTGGCAAACCGGGATTATGAAATAAATGTCGAGACAATTCTTCTGGGTCGGAAAGGAGCTTAGTTGGAATAATTGGGGCATGACTAGCTAAATGTTGGAAATCGGTGGCGGTTGACTCCACCGGTCTTGCGACAATCAAACGAACCTGAGCTCCAGTCTGACGAAGAACTGTCGCCACTTGTTCCGAGCTGAAACCACGTAAATTCACATCACCGATTTGCAGGACATGATCACCGCACTGTAGGCGTCCATCACGCTCAGCCACGCCGCCAGGCGTTAGGGCCTTGATAACGACGCCAGTGCTGCGGCCACCCACCAGAATAAAGCCCAAACCATTGCCATCGTTGTAGAGATCAATCACTTCGACCTGCGACCATTCGGTGCTTAAAACCATATTGGCATAGAAAGGTTCCGGCGGGCTGTTATCAACTTCGTCGTCGTCGCCGTCTTCGTCCTCGTTCTCCGCCTCGTTGTCAGCGTTTTCTGTGTGGCCCTTCTTAAGATGATGTATTTGATGATGATGCTGATGATGTTGTTGTTGTTGTAAAAATTGAGGTCGTAACGACAAGTGTGTTTTGTTACAGTTGTGTGATAGCTGCTGCTGCTGTTGTTGTTGTTGTTGGCCGTGACAATGTTTAGTGTGAGCAGGACATGTTGTAACATGACGTGTACAAATCAAAGTATTTGGGCTAGGCGTTACTAACGATGATGATGTTGACGACGCTGATGACGAAGATGATGCTGTCGCTGCTGGTGTTGTTGTTGATAATGTTTTCTTGGAATCTCGACTAACAAAATCCTCGGCCTGATGTTGATGATAATGGTCGTGACAATGATGATAGTGTTGATGTTTCTGCTGCTGTTGCTGCGACAGATGATGGAAATGATGCTCCTGCTGTTGCTGCTGATAATTATGATGCTGATGATGGGTTAACTGTTCTTGATGTTCCCTTAGATGGTGTTGGTGTTGTTGTTGCTGTGAACTTTTCTGTTGATAAATTTTACGTCATATATCACAGTCCCAACTTACTGCAGGACAATCCTTAACATCCTTTGGATGGGCTGTTGTTGGTATTATTTGATTTCCGCTTATTTTGATTTGAGGGCGTTTAACAAATTGATTACTGCCGCTAATACTGCTGGCAACACTTGGCAAATTGCGGCCTTTATTATTGCTGTTGCTACTGTTGTTGTTGTTATTGGTAATGTCAAATTTGTTGAAATTTGTTCTGTCGTTTTCGGTATCCTCAAGTGTTTCTTCTTCTTCGTCGTCGTCGACTACTGCTGCTGCTTCTGCTGTTGCCGTTGTCTTTGGCCAATATTCAACAGACATAATAATTGTTTTCGTTTCAGGGCATAAATATGTCGTTGCTGGTTCCGCTGTAATTGTCGATGTTGTTGGTTGGCCCGTTCCACACTTTTGGAGTTGAAGATTCCTGACTTGCTTTTAATTTGTTACGCCCTTTTTAAAATAAATGTTTAGCAAATGGCAACATTTTTTTTCCGGTAACAACTTGGAAGGGGTCCAAAAATGTTCTTCATTTCATTTCAGTTTCCCCCCTTTACTGTTCTGCATATTAAAAGACAACCAGGGCAATAAGTCTACGGTTGAGATACTGGGCATTTAAGAAAAGGGTAAATGGGAATTGGTGGGGGTAGGGGAAGTATTTGAAACCGACAGGTGTTGCTTGCTACCGCTGTTAGTTGCCGTTTTTGTTGTTTCAACCTTTCTTCGTAATAAAAAACAAACACCAACACGTTGTTTTGCCTTTTTGGGAATTCCTATCACATACATCAATTGTAACTAATCCCGCCGTATTTTTCGCTTTTGCTTTGGGGTTCTTTCAATGTCTGCTCACTAGGCCATTAAGGTCTTGCTCCATATTTTTTCTCGTTTTTTTGTTTGCATATCGTTGTCAAAAATGAACTGTATTTAACAAATTTTCAAGTGAGCACGTTTCCTCATCTCATTTGCCGTGGCACTTTTCGAAGGGGGAAATGATGGGTTTGCAGGAAATTTAACATGTTCATTACATTTCCAAAAAACATATTTCTAGTCAAGGATATTTACGCATCTAAATGAGAGGGGAAGAAGAAGAAGAAAAAAATGGAATAGAAATAGCCGTTGTTAAAAGAAATCACGTTTGTCAGTGGCAAGATTAAAGAAAACCGAGAAAAATGAAGGCCGTTTTGTTTGCTGCTGTTGTTGCTCTTTTTTTGTCATCGAAATTGTTTTTTTCTGTTTTTTACTTTTTTAATAGCCATGTCGGTTAGCCAAGGTTTTTTTTTCAAGAATTAACAATAGTTTACACGATTGTTTATTCTTTTTTTTAATTGTTGGTTTAAATTTTGTTTTTTGAGATAGCTTTAAAATTTCTGTTGTTTAGAATTCATTGTTTAGAATTATAACCCACTAAAGATTTGCTTGCCTATTTTTATTTTAGCTGATTTGACTAAAATACAATAGTCTTGGAAGAAGTGAATACTCGAATTATTTGGGGTAAAAGCTATTTTAAAACCAGTAAGGAAAGTAGTAAAGTCGGGCGGCCGACTATATGATACCCTTCACCTTTTTGGGTATATTCAACAGATTAATACTAACAGACGTCGAATTCTGCAACCTATACTAAATTTTTAGATATAGGGTTGCTTCTTACAATGGGACAAAATTACCAAAACTCCGGAGAAAATATATATAGAAGCTCTATCCAAATCTGAACTGACTTCAAAAATTTCCACGTTTCAAACCTTTAGTACGTTGTGCAAAATTTGTGTCCATAGAAGCTATATCAAAATCTGAACCGATTTCAATGAGAATGCAGAGATTAACTTATATTAACTACAGTTTATTGTACAAAATTGTGTGGCAATCGGACAAACTTTGGGTCTTTAGTGCACAATTTATATAAAATCGGAAGAAAAAATATATATGAGCTATATATAAATCTGAACCGATTTTCATTAAATTTTACACACATCACTCCAGACTCATTTCAGTACACTATGCCAAATTTCGTGCAAATCGAAAGATATATAGGGACTTTGGTACACCATTTACCTTAAATCGGACGAAAATATATATGAGAGCTATATCACATCATTTTAGACTTAATTCATTTCGCTATACCAAATTTCGGGCAAATCAAAAGATATGTATGGGAGCTATATCTAAATCAGGACCGATTTTCAGAAAACTTAACACACATTATTCTAGACCTAATTCATTACGCTATGCCAAATTTCGTGCTAATCGAAAGATATATGGGGACATTGGCACACCATTTACCTAAAATCAGACGAAGATATTTATGGGAGCTATATCTAAATCTGAAGCGATTTTCAGGAAACTTAACACACATCATTCTAGACCTAATCCATTTCGCTATGCCAAATTTCGGGCAAATCGAAAGATATATAGGAACTTTGGTACACTATTTTCCTTAAATCGGACGAATATATATATATATATATATATATGGGAGCTATATCTAAATCTGAACCGATTTTTTCCCAATTTCAATAGGGTTCGTCCTTGGGCCAATTAAGTGACCTGTGCAAAATTTCATCCAAATCGGATCATAAATGCGACCTGTACTTTGTTAACAAAAATACATGGACGGACGGACAGACGGACATAAATCGACTCAGGAAGTGATTCTATGCATATTCTCAAAAGGAACCATGGGTCTATCTCGATTATTTTTGCCTGTTACAAACATATGCACAAAGACATAATACCCTGTACCACAGTGTGGTGAAGGTTATAAATATTAGTCCTAAAAACCACTTGAAAATTGCATGTCCTGAAAATGTCCAAAAGTAATATATGCTACATTTTTTAAAATTATCTCTCACGCCCCATTGAGATGATGATAATTTTTATGTGACAATGCTAAATTTATCAATGTCTGACTTAGCCACAACTTTTTAAGCTAGTATCACTTAAACTTTATTCAAGGTGTAGAAATTAATAAAGTTACTGCTATAAACTGAAAGTCGAAGTCGATTGGGTTATTTGTTTTTGAGTTATCGTGCCCGCCATTCGAAAAAAAAATGTTTAGAGAAAAACGCGTTTAAAGTTTCGCATGAAGCCCATCAGCCGTCACTTGAACCTTTGACACAATAAATCGGCTATATCTTCAAGAGTTCAAATATGAGATTTTCATTTGAAAATTTGTAGGGACACCAAGAAAAATATTGAAAATGAGAAGATGTGTCAGTATATTGACAATTTTCTGCACCAAACTTTGTTACCGTCCATGAAACCAAAATGTCATATTAATGGATCTTCGGTTGTAAAAAATTGCGAAAATTTAACATGTCAGAATTATTTAATTGTAAATGCAAAATGGCGCATAAAGCATGCAATCCTCTCTTTTAAGGCACGGCTTTCATAAAAATTTTAATGTCGACATCATTTTCTGTTCACAGATTTAATGCAACTATCCCAAATAGGATATGGACAAAATTTGACATCGCCACATCCTTGCATTTTCTGAAAAATAAAAGTCCAATATCATGACCACCAAAAGCAAAATCGACCGTAAAATCATTTTAAATCATCTCTGTATTCTTTTTTACAAGAATCAAATATAATTCTGATATATGAATTTGTACAATTCGAATACGAAGCGATTTAAATAATTTGGACTGTATACACAAATTAGTACTGTACACATATTTGCCATCTTCTCTATATTTAAGGGAAGATTTTCAATGGGCTGGTAAATCAATACCAATGCTTGTATAGGTTTGTAACTTTGCATATATATATTTGAATATTTAAAAGAGAAGAAAACTAATTTACAAAAAAAAATTTGTAATTGTTTTGTTGTTTTTGTAAAATTAAAAAATGGCGGACCTTTAAGAGAATATTTTTGGAAAATCACCGATTTTTTACCAAAAACCAAGTTTAAAAATAAGGAAGATCTTCACCGATTGGCTTTATCCAAGTTCATACGATAGCTATACACTCACAGAGAAACGTGTACAAATTTGGAATCGATTGGGTTATTAGTTTTTGAGTTATCGTACCCGCCATTCGCAAAAGAGAAAAACGCGTTAAAAGTTTAAAGAGTTCTTGCGATTTTAACATGAAATTTTGTCGGGACATTCTTGAATTAGTGTAGATTCGAATTAAATCAAAAAATTTTTTGACCCCGAGAATGGGGGGGTCCCTTTAAAGCTATTTTTCTTTTGATGTGCGTCGTCCATAATCAGGTCTTCACATACGAAATACAAAGAATATATATGTACTAATTGTATATTAAATATAAGGTCTAAAACATTCTGTTCCCTGTGGGCAACATTAGGCCATAAAGAGTTAACTATTTATATCCTTTTCCACATTGTGTCTTTGTGAATATGTTTGTAACAAGCAAAAGGAAACGAGATAGGCCCATGGTTACTTTTGAGAATATGCATTGAATCACTTTCTAAGTTGATTTATGC